TCCAGTGGGAATTGAACTTGTACTCAACCGCTTGGGGGTGCGACAACTTCACCACTTCACTAAGTCGCCACACCCTAATATATAAAGTTTTTGTTTTGAAAATAATCTTATAGAACATAGTAAATACTATATTCTATAAAGTTATTTTCAAGGCAAAAACTTTATATAACTTTAGATAAGTACTTATTCGCAAATATATAACAATTCAAAGTAATTAGTAAATATTAAAAGCAATAAATATCAAATTATGCATATATATATATCTTCATAACACAATATTCTATACCTAAAAAGAATATAGAATTTGATTTTTTTTTGATGCCATTTTTCATATCCTGCTTTATTATATCCAACTTTATGATACTGCTAATATTCTGTAGATTTTCACTCTTTAGTTTTCTGATGTTCTGCATTTTTCTGTTTTACCTTATATAATCTCTTAAACCTTGTTTTGCGTAGAGCATCTTTTCTTGCATGAACAATAGAGTTCTGAATTAAAGATGGATTTATATTCTCAATATCTTGAGAATCTAATTTATTGCTATCATAATTTGAGTCAGAACTATCAAAACCATCAGATTCATCAGAGCTGCCTGGTATATTGTAAGATTTAGCTAACAAAGTTTTAGAGTTTCTTCAGGGTGATTTCTGATTTGGTGTATATTTTGTTATAAAGTTTTTCATAAAATCGTTTAACTCTTGTATTGTTGATGGTCCTATATTCAACCTCAATTGAATCACTTTTTTTTAAAGTCTATTAGCTGTTGCATATTCTTTTCATTGATTTAAGGAATTATAAACATGTTTATAAAGAATATTAACCATTTTATAAGGCATTTCTAAGAAGATTTTAGTCTGTAAGGTATTAACAGAAGGTTTCTGAAAGCTATCAGTAAAAGGTGTTGACAAAGGATTGAGGTAGATTCACATTGTTTTTCATTATTATACCATCATTTAGATATTAACATTATATAAAATTTTGCATACATTGAATTTTTTAATAGGCAAAAAAGTGATAGCAAACGATACTACATCAGACAAGATCTTAGTATATACAAAGGTGAGATTTATTATCAAAAAGAACAACATAATTTTTTTTGTATATCTATGGTAAACAAGTTTTCAAATCTCAACAATATTATTATATCTATAGATTAGAATAAGCTCTTTTAAGACTATTAATGAAATATCAATAGTATCTTCAATTAAATCAGTATTAAGTGACTCATCTTCATTTTCAATCTCCAAAGCACAATTTTTATCAACTTGTTGAGAAGTGTACCTAATATATATTTTTTATAACAGGTTGTAAAATCATAACTAATAATTACTCAACAGATCATAGCAAATTATAATTCAACACTGATAATAACTATATAGACTGCAATCAATTAAAATCAAACAGATTTATTTAATAAATCTGCTTGATTTTTATTGATTGCAGTCTATATAAAAAAACAATAAGTAAAAAACATTAAGTAACATACCAGACGGCTTGTGCTATTTTTTGATTTTACATAGAAAGTACAGCAGAAGTTAAATAGTCAACAATTTATTTATTAATTATCAGTAAAAAGTCATAACTTGAATATATAAGCATTAACCAGTTATGGAATAAACTTAATTTTTATATTATATTGTAGTAGATACACAATTGAGTTGTATTTCAAATTTTTTAAAAAGATTTAAGAGAGATATGTAACTATTAATAGCACTTTTAATTATCGCATTTTGCCCTTCTACTCTTTGTATACTTTGAATCCCTTTTGTAAAAATACATGAAATATAAGAAAAAGCCTATTTATGTTTTTGAGAACCAAGTACTCTATTAAGATATGATTCTAAGGTGAGGTATTGTTTAAGTAAAGAGTTTCAAAGATAGTCAAATTTAGTTTGAGATACTGTATTCCTCATTTTATACCAAGCTTTAATAAAATCATTATATTCTAAACCCAACTTAGACTTTAAATTCTTTAATAAATTTTGTCCAATACAGTATATACAATATACATAGTAAATATCAGGTATTATATTTGCAATTGCAGCATCAATAGCAAGGTTATTATCTGTTATAATAACCAAAGAGAAGACATTTGTTCTTTTATTAAGTGAATCAAATACCTATTCAAAACTCTCTAAAGTTTCATCAGTCATTAACATTTGTCTAACTAAACTAGATCTATTATGATTATCAACAATAACAAAAAGCCCAAGCACTATTTTAAATTTATTAGTAGAGTAAGTATTATCATATTGTACAATATCACTACATTGTAAGTAAAGTTCATATTGTTCTAGGGTTATTAAAATATTGATACTAAAGTGTTTGTTGCCAGGTCTACACGCTAATTTATAGTCTATCTAATATCCTTAGCTTTATGTTCAATAAGGTGATTAACCAGTGTTGAAGCTTTATGATCAACTTTTTGTTCAGTTTTAACCTTTTGAATAGTATTTGACAGGTCTTTGGATAAAAAAAAAACATTTTCATATTTCGTTTTAAGTAATTGCTATTGAATACACATATTAAGATTCTCTTTAGTTGTCTAAAACTTTATATCAGCCAATATTGGCTCGGTTAATATTTGATGTATAAGACCAAATTTACTAGTAAGAGAATCTAAAGGATAGTCTCCATGTTCTAAACTTAGATGGTAATACTAATAATGCTGGCTGTTTTTGAATATGTGGTATTTATGAACTATGAACATCTACTATATTTGGAATATATATTATAGTTTTCAACAATTATCATTTTTTTTCCTTAATAATTACTCTAATATTTACATTTATAATGACAACGTCTTCTTACTCCATTATGAATGCGATGGCTATGATGGCTAGTTTGAATATGATAGCTGGTTTGAATATAATAGCTAGTTTGAATATGATGGCTAGATGGCTAGAATGAATAGAACAACTAGAACCAACAGAACTGTGGTAAATAACCCAATAATATATAGCTGTTGTAATATTCAATTGAAAGAGATAGCTAATAACCTACCTCGTTTTATAGCTAAAGCACCTAGAACAACTAGAATACCAAAACACCTGGAACACCAAAATACCTAAAACTAGAAACAACAGAATTGTAGTAAGTAACCCAATAATATATAGCTGTTGTAATATTCAATTGAAAAAGATAGCTAATAACCCACCTCTTTTATAGCTAAAGTACCTGAAACACCAAAATACCTGGAATATCGAAACTCTAGAACTAATATGGTTGGATGTTGTTATCGAAATAGCACCGGGACAAACGTAAAAAGGCACTTTGAATAAGATATTATTTTTAGTTTCTTTTTTTTTT